AAAATTATTGCCATTGAACGAATTGGTGTTATTTATTTGATTAACAGAAGTAATATCGGATGGTTGAATCCCGGAAGTGAAAACTCTATTAACTGTTGTCGAATTATAATGTGCGGGTGTCTCAATCTTAGTCTCAATATTTGTAAAACCAGTTACATTATCATAAGTGTTTGTATTCTCAATTCTTGGTGTATTATCAATCTCTGCTGTATTTTTTTGTGGTGACAATATTTGTTTTTGATGTGTTATATCCTCATTCATAAATTGAAAAGTATTAGACATCTTTGATTGCATACGTAATGATTGTGGTAATTGCATTTGAGGAATGGGCTGTTGAAGTTGTTGTGTATAAGATAAAGTTTGCGATTGATCCACCTGTGGAACTTGTTGATTTGAATAGCCCTGCTGCGATTGTAAATGCAATTGTTGTGGTGAACCATTTGATATATCCTGTGGTGAAGGTCGTGACCTCGAATATTGAAAATATTGCGGAATAAGCTGAGATTGTGATTGAGATGAAGAAAGTGTTTGTGATGAATTCGGATTTTGCCCTTGCGTAACGGCTTCTTGAGGTTGAGAATGAAAATACGATTGTGAAAGAATTTGAATTCTCGATTGAGTTTGAGGTGTTAACGGTGAAGAATTTTGTATATGTGGAGACATTAATACATTTTGACCATTTAATTGCGATAATATTAAATCTTTAGTATTTTGTAGTCGAGGAAAGGCCAAATCATTTTGAAGTTGTTGTAAACCACTTTGTTGTTGCAATTGAGATGGTAACGGAGCATTTTGATTATGTGATTGAGGCAATGACTCATTTTGTGAATGTAAGGCCAAATCAATTTGTTGTTGTGTTAATTGTGGAGAATGTTCATTTGGTGGAGTCAAAATATTTTGAGGTGTTATAGTATTTATTTGATCGATTTGACATTGAGAATGTGGTGGAATCGGCTGATTAGATTGTAATTGATGTAAATTCTTTTTTGAAGGTCTTCCTTTTTGCCCAGGAATATTTTTAACGGTTATTATGCCTGCCGGGTAAGTACATATGATATCTGCACTTGATGACGTAGATGGCGTTATTACAGTCATATCACCATATGTTGATAAATTATCGTTAAAGATAGCTGAAGGATCAATTTTAGCACATCTGCAGATATCTTCAAATGTCTTATGAAGAACATTATGAATTTTATCAGTGTATTCTTTATTTGAACAAGCTAAAGAGGCAATACGGGCCGCCAGAACTATTGTATCAATGACGCGTTGTTCAGTGTCTCTTATTTTCAATTTTTTCCTAATAACAACGATTATTTTAATATTTATAGAATTTATAGAATTTATAGGAAATTGTGTTTACCGTATTTTCGCGAAATAACGCGCAAGAGTGTAATTTCAAATTTTGACCCAAATTAAACTTAATTCGGCCAATATTCTAAATAACGCTCATGAGCGTTATTACGCGAAAAATAGGTATATGAAAAAAAAAAATTACCTTTCTTCAGCCAGACGATTATAAAACCTCCTCTCATCCCATAACAAATTCGGAAATTCCAATTGCATAGTATTTCTTATATCACCAGTTGATAAACCAGAATTTGCAAGATCAGCAATTCGTTGTAGAACATTTGGAGGCCATGGCTCGGGAATATGTTCTGGAGGAATCAGGTCGTGATTATGTTCCGAATGCTGTGGGTTTACCGATTTTCGAAATTCCCAATGATTACCTTGGTCATTTCTAAATAGGACCACTCTCCATTTACAGTCGCAACGAAGGGACGCTCGTTTTCTTTTTGTCTCTCTACCAATTTTCACACTTTCAGAAATACCTTCTCGAGAACAATACACATATACATTCTAAAAAAAATAAAATAAAATAAAACAAAATAAAAATAAAAAAAAATAAAAAAATATTATGTTAAAATAAATTATTAAATTAAAATAATATAAAAGTAGGCAAAAATTCCTTCGTGTAACGTGAGAAGGTGCTGATTGCCAATCAAGAGATTTGATTTAGGTGGTCTGTGCATGACATTTCAAAAGTATGAAATAAGCCAAGAAACAAGTGTTAAAGCAATCACTATCATTATAAAGTACTTTGTACATGTGAATTTTATCAACATCTACAGCATACAGTTATACCATGCACACATGCGTAACAGACCAAAAGCGAGGATTAATTCTATTAATAAATGAATATTAAAAGAAATAAACCAACCTTATTGGAACTAGTTTCTTGCTTTACTGTAAAGCCATACTCTCGAGCCAACTGCCTGCAAAATGAAGCAGCTTCTTTGGCAGAAGGAAATTTCACAGGAGTAAGTTGTGCATAAAAGTTATCCATCTGGATTATTAAAGAATAAATTTTGATATGTTTATGAAAAAAGTTAGGAAATAAAATAAAGATAAATTCGTGCCATAAATGAGAATAAAAAAGAAAAGAGAAATTTAATGAGTTACCACGTTAAAAGTGGGAACTTGATTATTTGTTCCAAAAAAACGAAGTGCACATAAACTAGCTATCGCGTCGTGGTCCGTAGACATTTAGAAATTATCAAAGTTATCACCAGGAATAATAAAGTAAAAGAATAAAATAAGGCAAAACGAAAAGAAAAGGAAAGAAAAGGAAAAAATTAAGGAAAGAATAAGGAAAAAAGTCAGAGACCGGTAATTACTCCAATTTTTATTATGTAAAGTTAACAAGAAAATTTTATGAGAAAGAAATTTATAGGAATTCTACTTGAGGTATTTTTATTATGGTTATCTAATTTTTTTTTTTTTTTTTTTTTTCTTATCCGTGGTTGGTGGGAGTTTAGCGGGGCGTAAAAACCCCCTCATATAATAATCGGTGTTCGGAAGTTCGTAATATGTATGGCGAGATCTTTTTGTCTCGATCAAGTTAGTCTCTCAGTTTGTCTATTATGATATATACGATATACGATACGTAAAGATCAAGATAAATTAGCATTTGACACATTATTTATTACAATATAAAAGTGTAGTCACCAGAATGATGCATAACACTATCCAATAATCATTTGTTACAAACAAATAAAAGGCCAAATCGAAAGTGTGTTCACCGAAATCGGTCAAGTTCAATTTCCTATAATGGCTGGAACCAGCCATGATCAAATACCCGACCTTTATTCGAAACCAAAAGACGGAGAATGTTTTGTTTAATTTTATTACATAGCATTTATTCATTTTATGGTACATTAACACGCTTCCGGAAAAAATCGAAGCTCGGGACGACTAAAATTATTCTACTGAATGTGGGGAACAACAACCTGAACCCATTCATTACCATAATAAATATGAAGCATTTTAATACCGATTTGTTTAGTATCTATATTATTATAATTTTTATTAATTTATTCTAATTAAAATTTGTTCATTTCACTTTTATACGCGTAAAAAAAATTGATTTTTTATGATAATTGACAATATTTTGACAGTTTACTAATAATAAATGACTTTATCTTTTATGCAGTTATGAAAACTGTTAACATCACGCTTCCTAGACATGAATAATAAATCCAACCTTTTATGTGAAGGATCAAAAAATTCATAATAATAATAGTGTCCAAAATTGAGTTAATTACTAACTAACCAAACTTGTACTAACTTTTTTGATCTATACAAAGAAAACAATCGTGTAGTTACTTTGACGTCAATACCCATCCTAATATGGTTGGCCATTGGGGAGGTCACATTTTATAGAATGCATTTACACAAAAAAATCTGCACTATTTTTTTACCCCTGCAGAATTAGGAAAATTTGATGGTAACATACTATCAAAATTAGATAATCACAAAAATTAACACACCCTTTCAAGTATTTTATAAGAATTATAAAAGCTATGATGTTGTTTTAAAAGTGATGGCAAGAAGAAATATTCCAGTATTTATTCAGGTATGTATCAAATACATATTTACTGTTTATATTTATTTCTAACAAAAAAAAAAAAAAAAAAAAAAACATTCATGTAACTTATGTTTTTCCGTGAATTAAACTCCAAGGATTTTCCGTCAACATAAGCATAATTTTTTTTTAACGCATATTTTCGTAAGACAAATGGCCACCTTTCATTCTCAACTTATATTTAATCCTCATATCTTCTTTACGTTCATCAGCAATTTTAAGGTTACGAATTTCTTGTAAAATTGCACTATCCAAATCTCTAGGTGTCATTTCTTTACATTTCACCATTTTTTCCACTTGCTTTTCAAATTTTCTCTGAGCCTTAAGTCTACCCACCCATTTTTTAAATTCACGTTTCTTTCTCAGTGGTGATATTCCCTCTCCATTAAATGTGGTCGGAACTTTTAGAGATGGGTCAATTTCTTTTCTTGCAAGTTGTTTTATTAACATTTCATATTTTAAATCCCCTGGAGCGTCGACGTATTCTAAAACTGCCATGGGTGCATTATCAGAGACACGGTTGCCTATTCGGTGAATTCGAGTGTAACCGCCGTCTCTTTCACGATAACGATCTGCCATCTCTCCAAAGAGTTTAGGAATCGTCTTAAAATGTTCCTATAAACAAAATGTTGATCAGTCAACGTACACAAACTGGACATATACAGGATTTCGTGTTACTCAGTGTTATTATCGCCATTTTCAACGTTCACGTGACCAAGTTTTTTCGAAAATGGTGATAACTTTGTGATCCATTTTTATTATAAGCTAGGTCTAGCATATCGTGCGCATATCATATGATGTTTTAGACATCCTTTTTTTTTTTTTACACCGTCTATCATGTTCAAAATTCAATTTTTATACATGCCCGAAGAAAACTTCGTGCTTGAAGTTTCGCTTGAACATCACCCTTCTTTGACAGTGTTACCATCTATAAAAAGAGCAAATTATTAAATTGCGTGTTGAGTAGGTTCTTAGAAAAAAGGTGTAAATGTGTCCAATTGACTAATGTAGGAAAATTGCCTGGTTTCAAATTTATATGAATTTTTCGCAAAATTATTCACCTTGTCAGCTAATTTTCGTGCTTCTTTGGCTTTGGCTAAAGTAGTTTTAATTCTATCATGCTCAACTAAAGAAGATACCATGTTCCTTAACATGGCCATGCGATGCCCCGTAGCACGATTAAGTTTACTAGAGTGTGGCAACTTCATTATTTTATATGTATATTCAATTCAATTAGCGTTGTTATAATGTATGAGAATGATATAAAATGCTTCGATCTTTGATGTTATAAAGAGCGTCTTTAAAATCCGAGAATTAGCCTCTCGAAAAAATGCGAGATCTGTAATTTGGCAACCAACTATTGGTTAGTAATAAATAGATTAAATAGATCATCGGTGAGAAAATCTTCCAATCTATATTAAGAAAATATCACGTAGAGGTGGTACGTACTGCAGTAGATAAAAAATTATAAAAAATTGAAGAAATTTTTAAAAATGCGAACGCATTTTGAAGATCGTCTTGCCGAAAGATATGACCGGGCACTTCAACGTGGTGAGCTACACTTTATAGAGAATGAAGTAGCTCATATAAAAGAAAAAGACATTGAGGTATCTTCTCGAGGATTTTCTCAATTACATAATATTTTTGAGGGCTCAAGTTTGATTATACTTCTAGTTTGAAATTCGAGTTGCGCCAAGTTTAGCCAAAAAACCTATTGGTAATTTAGGGGTAAATGAAGAGCAACAGCAACAGAAACCTAAAGCTAACCCTTTTTTACCCTATAGTCAAGAGTTATTTGTGCAAGAACATGGAAAATATAATTTATTGTTAAATAAGTTTTGTGTGGTTCCTCAACATATTGTAATTGCCACAAAGGGTAATTTTTTTTTTTCCTTTTAAATGTTTAAATATTTAAATATTAATAACCAATTTTTTTATTAAATCATATTTCGATAACAGAATTTGAAAAACAAACGGATCCTCTTAATCCAGAGGATCTGGAATGTGTATGGTATTGCATAATGCAAATTAAAAGTCGACCATCTCTCGCATTTTTTAATTGTGGTGAGCTTTCAGGTGCGAGGTATGATTAACAATTATTTAACTTATGATAAATTATATAACTTGTAACTTGTGGTAATTCTTATGTAATTTAATCATACTTAATCATATGATCCATTATTCATGAAAGCCAACCACATAAGCATCTTCAAATAATTCCTTTACCAGAAGATGCACGATTTACTCCTCCTATTAATTCTTGTATTACTCAAGAATTTAAAAAGCCAGGTATGTGCTTTTAATATAAATATCGATTTGTGCAAGTATTTATATAATTGTCATATAAAAATTGAACTTTTTTTCTACCAGGTGAAATTTTTGAAATTCCTGAATTGCCGTATGTTCATTATATAGCTCTTCTCGATCCACAACGAATAACTGGACATCTTGGGCACAACGAAGAAGTTAGCCAATATCTGAATGATGTATTTCATTCATTGCTCGATGCTATGATCGAGGGTTTACATAAACAATCTTCCTCGATAAGTCTCAATTCTTTGTCCTACAATTTTGTCGCGACTCACACATGGTTTATGATTGTACCTAGGAGCAAAGAGAAGTATGATGAACAGATATCAGTAAACTCTTTAGGATTTGCCGGATTGCTGCTCGCACGAAGTGAGGAGGAATTAGAACTTATAAAGAATGCAGGGGTGTTGAATATTTTGGAAAGTGTGGCAATTTCAAAACAGAATATTATTATGGATGAAAGTAATTAGATCTATTTTTGTAATATTAACTTGTAATATTAACTTGATTATATTAACTTGTTATATTAACTTGTTTATATTGTTTATATCAACTTGTTTATATTAACTTGTTCATATTAACTTGTTCATATTGATGATATTATAAAGAATACTATTTTACTTGTTCATTCTAGTCGTAATTATAAATTGTGATCATTGATAAGTAGATTATATGAATATATTGATTTTAAAATATAACTTATTAGAAAAATCACTACTAATCAATGACCGCTAGTCGTATAATTTATTATTTAAAAAAAAATGCTTAAATGCTCAAACACTCAATCATTTAGGTGACTGAAATTATAATGCTTTAGATAAAAATTGTTGTATGTAGTAAAATGACAAGCTGCTAATACTCGAAATTCACTAAATCTACAATAAAAACAATTATAAATCCAATCTAATACAGAATAATTCTATATATAAATGGAAAATTTTTGACAAATTGAAAATGGCGAAATATGTTGTAATTTATGAAATGATTTTAAAGTAAATGATCAATGATTTTTCGATTTAATTCAATCCTTTCCACTAACTTTAACGAATCCATTGTTAGTGTCCAGTTTTTCATTCACAGAATAATCTTGACCAATATTATCCTCCTCTTGGTCAATAGGATGATATTCTTTTTTTTGCGAATCGGGTTTATCAGGTTTACTATACATATATGTTGCAATCAATACCAAAGTGGAACCAATCAAGAAAGTAACAGTAATTGGGAAATTAAAAAGATAAACAGAAGCGATGAATGAAAGAATGATAGAAATTGAAGTAGCGAAACCTTTGAGAATATTATCAGCATATTTGACAACCAGAGCTACAATAATACCACCGATGGCTTGACATGCAATAGCACTAAATACAATAAAGTTATATCCAAAAAAGAATCCTTTTTCCCATACTTGAGATCCATCTTTCCACCATACTCCCAAAATTAAGGCAGGAAAAAGAGAGAAGAATGAAAGTTGGAGATTTCGGATCCATATAGAAGTTTGAGAACCTTTAAGAACTTTTTCAAAGTACACTCCAGCTAAACCTGAAATTATACATGCTACAGTAACAGCGCATAATCCTACAAGTTTTTTCGCTCCATTATCATCGAACGTTTCTTTTTCGAGGGTTTGACTTTCGTTTTTAACGTCTTGATGTGATGAGTTATTTCCTCCAATTTTTAATTGAACTAATGCAACACCACAGGTTAATATGACCAAAGAAAACCATTTAATCGGACTCAAAGAAGTTTTTAACATGAGCACCGAACAAATCGCCGTTGTTAAAATTTTAAGTTGATAGGTAACCTGAAATGTAGCCGCATCTAAAGTACTAACAGCAATATACTGTAAATTATTTTGAATTGTATACAATGCTGCTGGTATCATTAGTTTCCAAGCATCGGGAGTAAAAACTTGGTCATAAAGTTCAGAAGCCTTCCAGTACCCGGTTTCAATTACTTGAGAACGGACGGCCATATAAATACAAATGACAAGTTTCGTCACCTCTGATAAAAATACAGCTGTGGCAGTGGAGTATAATTCGCTTTCAGGAGTCATCCGTGAATAACGCATCACAATTACTAGTGTGCTATTCTGGACGCAAAGAATGATCAAGCTGACATACTTTAAAGGTATGCCAAACATTTTGAATCTAATTTTTAGATCTTAGTGTTTTTTCTTTGAAGGAGAACTTGAGATGAACAAGTGAAATTGTGCGAAGGCCGTCTTTTGTGAGAACATACAGTATATAGTATATAACGATAACGATAAATATATAAATATGAAAAACGATTGAAATGTACGCAGCCCTTTTTGTAAAACCAACTTTGCATTTTTATGGTAAGTTATACAACACTGTATTTAGTATTACCCTCGAACTTTCACTCGCGTTTTAATAATAATTTAATGCAAACAAAATTAATAAAATTTATTTATTTATTAACACTTTTTATAAGTATATTAAGCACTATCACATTATATTTTAGATACAATAAACGATAAAGTTGATAGAAAGATCAGCTGGGCTAATAATTTTAACCGTTATACGTACAGTAAAAAATCGGTTACACATTAAAATTATAATCAACCTAAAATTTTTTTAGAAGTTGACTTTTTCATATTGATACATAGTCCGCGATAATCATAAACATAACGGCGATTTTTTTAAGAAAAAAAAGGTCATTATACAGTTTTATATATACAGTATATATCAAATATATATACTGTATTTATGTTTACAATAATTGACTTTAAAATAAATATACTTACAATGACATTTTAGATACAAGTATTACAAGTATGGTGTTACGCCCCAATCATATCCTTTGCCTGCTTTGGATAACAAATGTGATGTTTTTTTTAAATGTTTTTATTAAACTATTTGATTAGAGGTTATTTTTTATCAATGTTTTATTATAATATGTGTTTTTATTATATATATTTTTTTTAAATCAGAAGTTTGTATTATTTAAAAAAAATTAAATTTAGAGATATATTTATATTTAAAATAAGATTGTTTCCGGTGGTGATAGTCGTCAGATTAAATCAGGTATATGCGTAACATGAAACAAATTTTTGTAACATAGCGATAGTAATATATATGAGTGCGTGAGAATGAAAACCAGGAAATAAAAGTTAACCTGATTTTCACTCTCACGCACACATATATATAGTATAATCCTGTACGTATTTAATTTTATATTATATACTGTGTTTATTTTCGCGCGGATGAATTCAATCAAACTGCTTTATTTTAAAAGAAGCAGATAATTTGATTGGGTTCGCTTATATAAAAAATAAACACTAATACTGTATAAAAAAACTTTAAATTACTTAGGCAGCATTTATAATTGGCCGGAGCGTAGCGACGGACACTCAATTTTTATGTATTAAGTGATACAAAAATTACGTTTTTGATGCATTTCACCCCCCCCAAAAAGTTACTTTTTTGATGCATCTGCATAAGCATTATGAAGATCATATC